TCTTGGAGTAATTCGACGGTTTCATCTCACTGGGTGTGAGAAACTCAGGGCTCAGTTGTATTCCAGCGAGTCAGTGGGACTACATGTGGGATATAGCTCTACTCACAGTGAGTAAAGAACTGGCTGCCAGAGACTGCAAGGTCCTTCTAGTCCTGCTTCCTTTACTGCTTGCAAGGGATTATTTTTGTATCACCTGTTCTTCTACTGCACAGGGGGCTGACATAGCAATTTCCATTGGGATTATATTTGCTTGGGTTTGGTTGGAGGGCGTAGCCTACTGCCTTCTGTCCTCAGCAGTTCTAGGCTCTTCTAGCAGCACACAAAGATGAATTTCTGGCCCTTGAATGAGGTTCCTTCCAACTCCATGCACCCCCGCAAATGGCTACCATGGGCATTAATTAAGGTTAAGTTGATATCAAACAATGTTAGCCTGGGCCACACTAATTTTAAGGCTCTATCAAGGCAAAGGAAAGGCTGCTCTTGTGGTTACAGCACCCCACCTGCACACAGGCACTCTGGCTTCCATGCTAGGCTCTACCCCAGGCACATCTTTAGCATTTTGTACCTCTGCTTCTCCTGAAATCAGAACACCGCTTCCTCCCCTGTCCTTCCTTTGCCTGTTTTATGTATTCAAACAGTAGGTCCTTTTGGCTGGCCATAATTCTTCCACATGTATGTGTAATGCCTAGCACAGTGGGCCCCATTTTTTAGGTTGGGGGCCTATCGTGTAAATAACGGACTGTAAGCAGTGCAAAGAGGCTAAATTCTGGTTGCAAATGGCTAGAGAACTCCGTAAACCCAGCCACCACCACCCGACAAAGGGGACGTGCCAGGAAAGATATGTCTACACTGCGGTTAAAAACCCCTGGTTGGCCCATACGAGCTAACTTGGGCTCATAGACCTTGGGCTTCAGGGCTGTTTAACTGCAGGGTAGACATGGAGGCCCGGGCTTCAGCTCGAGCTCTGAGACCTTTCCACCGCCCATGGTCCTAGAGCCCACGCCATAGCCCAAACCCAAACATCTCCATTGCAGTTAGGCAACTCCTTAGCCTGAGACCTGTGAGCCTGAGTCAGCTGGTACAGACAAGCTGCAGGTTTTCAATTGCAGTGTAGACATTCACTTATGGACCAGTGGCTTAAGTGAGAGCAGCCTCTAACCGCTCTGACTTCCTGGGGCTGGTAACTTCACTGCCTGCTCCGCATCCTCTGAGCTTAGCGGAGCTTGGATGCAAGGGAAAATCAAACTCAGCAATTACAAATAATTTCAAAATGTTTAAAGCATCACTCTGTACACTGCTTAGAATCCACAAAAACATGAATGCTGTATAATCAGCAAGGAATCTTGATCTCAGGAGGAAGACCTGTCAGATGCAGAATACTTTCAAGTCTTGTCTTATTAGTAATTGGAACTGTAGTTAATATTCACCGTAAACACACCAGTCAGACTTGATAATAAAGAATCACTAGCCTAGGAACACATACTCCACTTTCTCTGCATTTCAGTGTTAACTCAGTCTGAAAACAACACTTAAATAGCAAACACAAAAACATTGGTGTGGTACTAACATTCCAAACTTTCCAAAATAACAATCTGAGCAACAATTCAAGTTGAAAAGCAACTTGGCTTAGCCCTGAGGCGACTAAACGACTTGATTAAATTAAAGAGGTAAAAAAACTAATAAATATTCAAAACACTTGATAATGCTTTGTTTGACATTAAAAAAACCCATTTAATGCAAGTCTCACTGGAAAACCTGTTAGGTGTTTATACCTTAAATAATGTTTTTCCTTTAGAAATACCAAACCATTCCATTTGCAGCCGTTGATTGTTGTCTTCTGTCACTTTAATCACACTAGCAAAATTACAAGATTTCTGTGAAGTAAAAACTGTTTGCAGTGCAGTTTTATAGTGCACAGCTTTTCAATGCATTCTTCTATGCATTTTTGTTGAGTTACTCCCTACCTTGCAAAACTGTGCTTTTGTTCCGAGTCCTCATTACCCGGGGGGTCTATTCTAGAGCTATCTCAGGGAGGAATAAAAATAAAATACAATTAACTCCATCCGAAAAGGCAGCATGAAACAATGGACTGAGCATGATCCTTGAAGTCAGGAACATCTGAGTTCTAAATCCAGCCTTGCCATGGCTCTTTGAGGCTGGCGTACACTTTGAGGATACTCATTCTCACATATCCGTGGTTTTTGTTGTATAAAATCCATCCTCCTGACAGTATCTTGACCCTCTCTCCCAATCACTGCAGTCTCCTCTCCCACTTCTCCATGGCTCCTACCAAAGTACATTGCTAAAATCATCTCTTTCTGCTACTACTGATCCTCTCACTGGCTCCTTCCTGACATCCACAAAGACCATGTGGCCCTTCCCTTTATGGTCCTGGCCCAATTCCGCTCCTACCTACCTCATTTCTCTCATTTTCCACATCTGCCCTTCCACCCCAAGTACTCCCACCTTATAGCAGCGATGGGCAAACTAGGCTATTAAGTGAGCCACTGAGTGGTATTCCTTTATCTCAGTGAGCCACAAGATTGTCATAACCAAAGTGGTCTCCCAGGATAGGGTAGATTTTGGAGGGTGCGCCGACTAAACTGTAGCAGCGTTTTGATTGGATGCCGAGGGAGTACCTGGCTCTCCCAGTCAGGGTGTGTCTAGACCTCAGGGTTTTGTCGACAAAAGTGGACTTTTGTTGACAAAACTATACCTGTGTCTACACTACCGAGTTCTGTCGACATAACATCAAGAGAACTCGGCAGTTTTGTCGATGGTGGTAAACCTCATTCTACGAGGAATAACACCTTTTGTCGACAGAATTCTGTCAACAGAAGCGTTATTGCATCTACACTGTCCTTTGCGTCTACACTCTCATGTCGACAAAGCGGCTTGCTTTGTCGACAGAACTGGATGCAGTCTAGACGCTCTTTGTCGACAGTCTCTGCCTTCTGTCGACAATAGCCTGTAGTCTAGACGTACCCTCAATGTGCAATAAGAGTACACCTCATGTGCCTTGCTTTATATGACTGTCACAAAAAAAAGATGCAAATGGAAACCAGAAGAATTTGGCAACACTGTCAAACAAACTGTCTTGGGCCACATATAGAACCATGATAGCCTGCTATGGCCAACTGGCTACAGGTTGCCCACCACTGACTCACAGTCTTCTCTAGGGATGTGAACAAGTAGATGACTACATGATTAACCGGTAAGCCTAGGCAGGAGCCGGTTTGCATGGTGGAGCTGGTTTTTAAACAGGCTCCCCTTGCAGACCAGCTACTGCCTGCTACCTCACGCTGCTGCCTCCGATAGAGAGACAGCAGCACAGCAGCACAGTTGCAGGTGGCTTCCTGGAAATGGGACCAGAGTACACTAGCTGCAACACCACTCCGAGGACTATCGCATAGTTGTATACCTGCTAATATTTCATATGGTTACACGACTATTTAATTCCACGCTATTTAATATTCCTAGTCTTCTCTCTCTTTTCCATACTAAACTCAGAACAATTTTCCTCTTGTGCACCACGCAATCCCCTTCTCTGCACACACAGTGCTGGAGACCATACTTCTTGTGCAAAGCCTTTCAACAAATAATCTACGAGAGCCCAAACCTCATCACTGCTTTGAGACTAAATCTTCCAATCCTGATTCACATCAATATATTATGTATCTGCACTCTGCTGTCTGTCCACTTTAGACTCCTGTTTAATCAGTTAACTTGTTAAATGTTATGTAAAATCCCATTTAATCGGTTAACTGGCTAAGCGTTACATTTAACTGGCTAACTGATTAAGCAAGATCCCGTGGGTGGGGGGCCACCCCAGCCTGGCTGCTGCCCGTGCCCTGAGGGGCTGCCACCTCTGCTAGCCCATAGGGGCTGCCAGTCTGCCCCACCCCATGGTGGGTACAGGAGGCTGCTCCTACATGCCAGTTAAGCGGTTATATCACAAATTAGACAGTGAATTCCTTGGAGCCTATATAAAATGGTACTTGCTATAAATTTTTTTAAAAAAAACTGATTTTGTACAGCAATTACTAGGATTTAGTTTAGGTTGGTGGAATGGTTATATTCCCCATTCAAAATTAATGATGATCCCCATCTGAAGAATGACCAATTTATTTAATTGTACATGAAAGTTGAAATCTTATTGAAGGCATATGCGTAATCCCTGTTCCAGGGATACTGGGCATGTCTGCCAACTCCAAATAGGAATATATTCTCATTTAATTGTGTCATCAGTTACCAGGTGCACTATGTTTTGGATTCTGTTGTCTTAATTTTTGGGCACATGCCTGGAGATATTAGGGTTTCCGTTTTTGTACATCCACATATAAAGAAATCAGCTTGGAGATTATGTTTTACCACTCAATCATTCAGAATTAGCAAAGTTGTCAGTATCTAAACTTAAAGTCAAAATACGTTGCTCCATAGTATCGCCTCAGTAAATCCCATTCTCTCGAGGGCACTTTTACTTTTCACAATCTGTGTTAGGGATCAGTCCTTGAAAGCAAAATGTCTTTAACGAGTTAGGTCCAGTAGAAACTGACATGGGTTTATTTAAGATTGTAAGAATTTTAAAATCACCAATCAGAAACAGATTTATGCAACTTAAAATGCTTTAACTATCAAATATAGAACATTTATTTGAGATGCTGAACATAAAACTGAGGCAAATGTTAGCTGGTGCTGCTGCCACTTCTTAATTGTTGTTATACCCTGATAAATAAGCTAAAAATGTGAGAAAATAAAATTAGTTTAGAAAAACTGATTTAGCCTTGAGCTTCATCGTTTAGCTTTTTATGGTATCCATGACAACCACTGGTCCATTTATTAAAACATAGCATCCCCAATGTAATACACAACTACTAAAAACTCTAACAATAAACATCAACATTTAGTTAACTGAGTTTAGGTCAAGCACACAAACAAACCTACACCAAAATAAATGACAGAATGTGGAAAAAATGGATTGTAGACATGGCCTCCCTTACCTTAAAGTCATCTGGGAGTAGCAGTTTAGATGTCCTTAGGAAACTTAATATGTATCTGAAAATTTCACCATCTCGATCAATGAAATAATGTTGTTTTAAACTATCCAAGACAATAGGCTCTGTGCCATTAAACAGACGACTTATTCTGGAAAAAAAAGAGAAATGGGTAGAAGATACACAAAAATTTCATTAAATTCTACAGGCTTAAAAACAGCCCAGCCAATTCAGCTATCTGAGTTCCACTTGCATAAGAATAACTCTAATAATGCAGTATCTTAATTCTGTAAACTCTGTGACAAAGGAAAATGTGCAGAAAGACAGATGCCACATATATACACACACACATGTATATAACACACCCCACACACACATCTATACTGGTGGAGAGGGGTTCTATCCTACACTCTCTCCTCATGTAAAATTCTCATTGCTTGGAATAAGAGCTTCAAACAGGGTCCATAATTTTGACAGAGTATTGTCTAGAAGGCTTTTGCCCTGCAGTAGGCTGGTCATAGCTGATATGGCTATGGGGTGCTAACTCTATAATAAGTCCCTAATTACCATATACAGCTTATCCAGAATTGAATGGTGTTGCGCTCCTAGCCAGTACATTTTTCACCAGGTCACTTGTCATTAGTCAGAAAATATTTCCATTTTTGAGAAGATGGTTTAAATGAACCAATGTTAGTTACGTAAATCCCCCCAGTGCTAGATCTTTAGGCTTCTGTGGCTGGATGGGTTAGACGTCCAGTTTTTGTGCAGCAAGGAATGATCTGTACAAACGTCTATCACTATTACACTTGAGGCCTTGGTGCTGTTGCCAATATTGCAGGAGAAGTCATTTCTCACCAGGTGAGGCATACACAGAGAAGCCATTTACATCTTTGGATGCCAAAGAAAAGAAATTTAGACATTATGCCAAGTGGCTAACTGGTTAGACATAAACATGACCAAAATGCTAAGTTTTAAACATTTCCTATTCAATTCCAGTGCGATCAATACACTCTACAAAGCAAGGGACTCGGGCATTGGTTGGCTGGGATTTCATCCTGTCTTTCCTTGAGAAATAACATAAATTTATCTATATATACACAGAGGTAATATTCTTGAAAGCAGCATCATAGAAGACAGAGACAGAAATGGCTTATGAAGGAATCGAGTCCATCTCCCTGATAATCATAGTTTCCTACTGCAGTTACTAATTTTTGCCACATTTAGCTTTAAATGTCCCAGACAACAGGAGTTCCATTATTTCCCTGGGAAACTGTAGCCCTCTAGAATCCACTGTCACAAATTTTCCCTTGCTACTTAGCTTGCCTATGATCCCACTGTTCCCTATTACAGTCCCTGGCGTAAAATTTTCCCCACACTTTGATACTAATACTCACAAATTAACTCTGCCCTTTACCAACTCTACGGTACATAGCTCCTTTTTAACCTTTCCTCATAAATTAATCTGTCCGGCCCATTAATCTTTTGTGCTTCTCTTAGAACTCCCTAATTTGTCAATCTGTCTGTGGCAAAGAGGTGCCCAGAACTGACTACAGTAATCCAGGTGCTACTGCATCAGAGCTATTTAGAGAAACTAGCACCTCCATTTTCTGTGATAGATATCGTTGTGTCTGTAGCATGGGCCTGTTTCAAGATTGCAATGTATTGCCAAATTATGTCCACTTTGCTTTCCACTGTTGGGCCTAAATCTGGTGTCTCTCTAATTTAGTCTAATCTGCAAAATTAATTAATGTACTGTTGACCTTCTTCAATATTAATTATGGAAATATTAAATAAGAATAACATAATTCTTTGCTATTCTTCACTAGAAATCTTACACTCTTACTGTGACTCCATATTTTGTTGTTTATCTTTGTCCTATGTTTACAATCCTTCAATTAGTATCAATATATGTGCCAGTGTTTGCATCATAGCGGATTTGAATTATGAAAATATACTAAATGCTTTCCTAAAACCCAAGTACAATACATCTGCTGAATTTCCTTCAACATCTACTTCTGCAAATCGACCAGAAAAAGCAATCATGTTTGCCTTGCAGTGTTTAGTCTCTGCAAATCTATCGTTTCAGTAGCTCTAAAAGTTTAGGGGTTTTTTTTGCTTAATAGTTATCCATCCCACTGTTTCTCTTCTAATTGTTATTTTACTAGACATTATTAGGGGCATCTGCTTTAGTCGTTACAAGGTAAAGACCAGTGTTACATTTTAGTCTATTAACTAAAGGGTTAACTTCCTTCACAAAGTGTGCATCTGGGCTAGTGAAACTGAGTTTCCATGCAGCTCTTGCTTTAACTGGAAGGAATCAGAGGTACCTCGAGACAACAACTCATGCTCAATTTTGCACTTGTATAGAATTAATTTGCTTGGTGACAGAGTAACTTTGAGAGCTTCTACAGAAGACTGCTGTCTTACAGCTAGTTAGGGCGCAGCTTTGATCTCCTATCCCTTGGAACCTTTGTCCTATGTTTTAAGACACATTGAAGAAAATGCAATTGCTGCTTTCAGATTCTACAGAACAAATAGAGGAATGTTTGCCAACAAAGAGGGGATATAGGGAGGATTGGATACAGAATTTCCAATTAGGCTAGGCTTAGCACAGTGCAGGATTTTTATTGTAAAGAAAACAAAAAAGTGAGTTTTCAGGCCTTCAGCAATATTTCTTCACTACTGAATGTGCTGCTTAACTCCCACCCCAAAACAAGAATGGTTTAGGAGTTACCTGCTCCAAAACCAAACTTCAGTTGCAGTATGTAATTCCGTAACCAAAAAGGGTTTCTCCTCCTAAATTATTTCACAAATACAAACTACACCTTTGTGAAATCAGCTAGAAGGAGCAACACTTCCGAGGCACCTAGTGAATTCAGTGAAAATAGCAGGAACATGGGTTTCAGGCCAAAGCCTTGCATGACAGGTTAGCTGGTGATCTAGAACACCATGAAGAGACTGGTTACTGACAACTTTCCATTACAACAAATGGTTAGTTGACTTGCTTACTCAGGTAGGCCTCATTTTGGAAGCGATGAACCAAGGCAAGCAACAATATCAAAGGGAATGGTTTGCAGCCTATTCATTAAAGTAGCAGCACAGCAAATACAAAAATAACAATTTAGGCAAATGAGAGCAGTGTGCAAGTTGCTTGTTTGGAAACCACAAGAATGTAACTGCAGATCTGTAGATAACTATACCATAAGAGGTAATGTGTCTGGAGATGTTCTGTTTCCTGGGACACTGGGATATGGAGAAGCTCTCAGGCCTTTAGCATGGCTCTGTAGTGTTCAAACATGTCACCAAGCAGATATTCACAGAGATGTCAAAGGCTGGCTGTCCTTAAGAGTAAGATTTACAGCCCCAAAGAGTGAAATTCAAGGCCAAAGGTGGCCTGTTAGCTCATTGCTTAAGACAGTCCTCTCATCTTTGGTCCGTGGCAACATCCAATAGTCCATGTTTTTAATCCAATCAGCAGTTAATACAGTAGTTTGTTTTAAAACATACACTGCTTAATACTGCACACAAAACACTTAAATGTTCTGTCATACTAAAGTCTAGGGCAGTGGTTTTCAACTGTCATATGTGGACCCGGGGGTCCATAAATTGCGTCTAAGGTGTTTGTGAAAGAGTTAGACTGAAAACTGAACAGAATTCAACTATACACAGACAATATATTTTCCAACGGGTCTGTATCTCCCTTCAAAATTTCCAAAGCAGTCCACATCCCATTTTTTAGGGGTTCTTAAATGTAGAAAAGGTTGAGAATCACTGGTTGAGGGCACATGATAATTTTGTATGCAATGCAAACCAGTAGATGTTAATATAAACAATCATTTGCTGGCTGGACAACCTAGACAGATTAAGATCCCCGGAGAGGCAAATTTTTGCAGTATGCTTTACATTTTGAACTGTATTCTACAGAGCCCACAAACATTTGGTCAAGTCCTGCTCATTTTCTGGGATTTTTGTCTCTGTCTGTGACGTGCGCATACGCACACACACACACGACTGAGGTCAGGGCATGGGAACTTCCCCTGCTCCCCAGCATGACTATCAGGTTAGTTGGTGAGTGAAGCAGATCAGGGAATACCCATTTTTCTGGGAGCCTCCCTCTTGGCCAGGGCCACTTGACACAGCCCCATTTGCCCAGTAGCGAATCCACCACTGCATGTGTGCTTTCCCCGCGCTCCTCCCTCCTCCCCCAGACTGCCTCCTTTCTCCCCCATATAGAATGCCTGCCTGAATGCAGCCTCCATGGCTAACACATGAGCTCAGAAAGCAGCTTTCCAAGCTGGAAGCCCTGTACCCGAGGCCCCAGATCTATTGTCTCTTGCAGTACCTGTGTAATTGTAAATCTTTATATAGTTACTCAAAATGAATGAGATATGCTTAGGCGTGTGTGCGAGTAAGAGAGCATGCTAATGAGTGAGTCTCACACCCAGTGAGTGAGACCTTGTTGCCGGCACAGCCTGATATGTCTGAATTCACCTGGAGGAAAGTGAGGGGAGGGGAAACAGTGGCAGGAGAGCCTGGCTCACTCCACAAAATCATGTTTCTGATTAGTAGTAGTGTTCATCCCCACACAATATTTGGCAAAAATATATGAAGCCCACTTCAGCAGAAACAACTTGCTTGCTCCACTTGGGGGGAATGCATCTGCAGCTTTCACTGATGTTTGGAAGAAAGTGGAAGACTCCATAGGATTGCCAATTATGGCTGGACATGTTCCTGGAGGTTTTCCACATGACAATCTTTAATTAAAGATTAATCTTTTAATTCCTGGAGACTTCAGGCTAGGTATATGAATGGGAATGGGTAACGAGTTAACCGATTACTCGATAAGTATCACCCTTAACGGGTGATGCTTACCAGGTAATGGTTAAGTGTTACCCGGAATCAGCCCCCCACCCTCAGCCTGCTGCAGGTGGCGGGCTGCTCCAGCCCCTCCAAGCCGCCAGCGCCAAACCCGCGTGAGCTGGAATGTTTGGAAGAGAGTGGAGGAGGGGGTGCGGGTGGGGCTGGAAGCAGCTGAGCTGGAGCACCCGGTCTCCCCCAGTTTAATCAGCTAACCAGGTAAACTTAACATTTAACCAGTTAACTAATTAAATAGGATTTACAAACCTATCCCAGGCCAATCCTGGACAATTG